AGTGGGTCAACAGAAGAAATGATGTAGAAAAAAGGATCAATTTTGCTGTCAACTTTTATTTTTAAGGTAGTTTACAGGGCTTTAAATTAGATTTGCAGATTACTTGATTATTGAAATTATCCATGCCCTCCCAGTCTGTTATCAAAGCCAAAATAAGAATTAGTTTTACCAAGGTTTGGACCCAGTATTTGTTAGATATTAGGAGAGGAGAAAAAAAGGAATAATCTAATTTTAAGGAAAAACAACAGGGGTTCTCTTGGTACTCTCAGAGCTGAACTCCTAAGACATTCATTATCTTAACAGTAGCCACAGGGAGAGACAGATTTCTAAACATTTAAGTAGTCAAGTACACTTAAAAGTCACATGGCATATACTGGCCTAGGAAAAAAGTAGAAGAAAACCACAAGGTGAAATTCAGAGTATCTGAGTAGATGTGTACCAAGTAGCCAGTAACCTTACTAGGATAATGGTCACTGATATAACTAAAGAGAAAGGGCCATAGAGCAGATTGTGACCAGCTTATTGTCAATGAGATACACAAACGTACTTAAAAAATAAAATAAAATCTGCATTTCACTAGAAATGACTACCTGGTATCTTGGTTTTGGTAGTGCAATAGCACCAATACAGCAAGGGTAAGCAGGTCAATCCCTTGCAAAACTTACCTTGACTGGCCCAATGGAAACAGAAGGCCCCAGAAAAGAGAGAAGCATCTGGCAGTAGCAAATTGTTTTATTTTATCTTTCTGTGGAAAGAAACTAATTTTAAATAAGAACCAGAGCATTTAAAGAATAAATATTTTTTAAAGCTCATTATCTAGTTAGAGCAGCTCTAAGAAAACAAGAAGAGCTCTTTGCTGCTTAGAGATGGAAAGAAACAGAAGAGGAATCAAAGTTGCTTCTCCATCACCTAGGGAGTTTTAGAACTTGTGTTATTCTAAAATAACAGAATAAGTGTTTCTTTTATTTAAAGAACTCCTACAGGCAGAATCTTTGGGTGCCTTTGAATAAAGATTTTTATACAAAATTAAGGGCTATATTCCAAATAAAAAAAGAAAAGTACACTTGACATTAAGTCCTTCTACTCTTAAGGGTAAGTAAAAAGAGACACAGAGCAACCTCCTTTCTCCACTACAACTTCACCAATAACTTAAACCATCAAGGCTTAAAATGCTTATCAAAGTAAACTATTAATTAGCAGTTAATACCTAATTGACTGGCTTTCCAAATTATTTTGTTAGCCTAAATTTTTGACGATTTACTGAGATACTCAAATGGAAAGAAACCAGCCACCAAACTAATTTTAAGAAAAGCATTTAAAGGATAAATATATTTTTAAAGCTCATAATCTAGTTAAGAGCACCTCTACTAAGAAATATTATAGAACCTAAAAAGGGGCACATACAATTATTCACAGTAACTAAACCTGTTACTTTTCTTGAAAGCTTCTCCAGGAACTCAGTTCTATTGAATTCACTGAGTCAGCATTAAAATCTTTTGATCCAAATCACTCCCACAAAATGTCCATTTACAAATTTATGCTGGAGATGGAAGGGACAGCTCAAAAGCAGGAGTGCAGAAGCAATAAGCAGTAAAAGAAAACAACAAAGAAATAAGTGAAAAATGAATTACCTATTTGGCACTGTCCTATTAAGAATCAAATTGGAGTAGAAACTACCCACCTCCATGCCCCCCCCCCACACACAGAGGAAGCTATTTCAGAAATAAAAGTCATTCTAAGCCCAAGACCTAAACAATTGCAACTTTCAGATTCTATGCCTTTACACAGTCGCCACAACATAAGTTATGTTGATTTACTACAGAACATTAACTTCAATTGATATACTTGTGGGAAAAAGTCATTAGACTAAAAAGCCTACATTTCCAGTGTTACTTTTTAATTTTTTTAAAAAAACCTTGTTTTGTTGCAGTGAAAGTAGTTGTTTTATACAGGTTTCATTCTATTCAAAATGGTTAGTGTTATGATTCAACATTTCACATATTTGAAAACATTACTTTGGCATAAACTAATCCTTAAATAGCTACAAGTATTGACCCAGCTTTTGAAATCTTGACACAATAATACAACAGGCAAAAATAAATAAAAACAAAATAAAACAAACACATTCTTACTTGACCCATAGGCGGACCTCCCATTGGGGGCATCATTTGTGGCATCATTCCATGTGGTACAGGAGGCATATTAGCTCTCTGACCCATAGGGTGCATTCCCATTGGGGCATAATGCATGCCAGGATGCCCCATCTGAAAAACAAGAGCAATTTTAAAATTAGCAAATAACAATAAATGCTTTTCAAAAATCTATTTCAACAAATCAGTTAAGTGCAGTACATAACATTAGGCTAATGTATCATTTAATTAGAAGGTTTATACTTTCTTATCTTAAACAACATGCACCACACCAATATTTATAATGAGCTTTCAACTAACCAAATTCCAGAAAAAAAGTAAAAAATTAAAATCATTAGATCATAGTTTTATTTTTCTTTTAAAGCAGAGTGATTTAATCAGTTGCTAATAGACTTGCTAAACCCAGACGTGTATGTGAAAGCCAACCTAAAAACTTATGAAACCACAACTTTGTCCTGTATCACACATATATGATAGACATCTATTAATTTTATAATTCTTAAATTTATTTCAAAACTGATTTTAAGCTTTAAAACGCTGAAATTACCAATTAACTCTGCTGAGGGCTGGTCTTATAAAACACCAATAGAATGGGTATCCAAGTATACCTCATTCCTAACAAATATACATGACTTACAAATGTAATCCTTACACGGGTAAAATTAATTCTGCCTAATTTTTTTTTAAATTCCAAAACTGAGGCCTGTCATTCACACACGAAATGCAAACTACTAAATGATCCATCTTAATGCGCTTTTATAAGACAACTACTTCCTTTACCTGTGGTCCATTGTTGCAGGTCTTAAAGCCAGGTGATTATCGCCTGCCAATTCTCCCAGCTGTGCACCCTACAGACACCACTACTACCGGTGGAAACACGTCTTGGGAGACCCTTAAAACCTACAGAAGCGTCCCCGCCTTCCGCTCCCTCCTAAGTCGGGCCTACCTCTCCCAGACGCTCACCACGCTCGGGGCCCAGCACCTACACCGCGCGCCTAGGCCTGGCCCACTGCAAACTTCCTGGGTCCCACATCTTTCCCTTTGTGCATCCCCGCCCTCCATTTCCCTCCGGAACAAATCCCACCATCTCGAGCTCTTCCTTCGTCCGCTCTTCTCCTTTTGGAGAAAGCTTCCTGTCTGTTTTTCATTGTGCCACTCCGATCCCTTACCGAGGGCCGTCTTCTCAGGAAGCCGTCAGCAGAGACCCAAGAGCTGGAGCAGAGGCTTGAGCCGGACAATCTCCGCTCCCCGTCCCCAGGACCCCGCGCGGGAGGATGGCTCTCCATTTCACTCACCATGAGGCCTCCACGCTCGGCTCCCGTCCCTGGCCTCATCGTCTGGCTGAGACTGCTCCGCCGGCGGCCACTGCCGCTGCATATACCAACAAGAAGCGATCTGAGTGGCTGGCGCCCGCTGGGGCCAAAGGTTAAAGGCTGCCCCGCACTACGGGGTGGGATCAGCGGGGCCAATAGGCTGACAGGCTTTCCCGCTGTCCAATCAGAGTGCGCTGCCGACACGCAGCTCTGCGGCGATTCGCCCCCAGCCTCAGCCTCACTCGGCGTCGCCTGCATGGAGGGGGGGATAGGGGGACGAAGGAAGTTTCTGCGCCGAGTCCTCTGCCGGAAAAACTCCACCAACTTCCCCCCGGGAAGGGAAGACAACCGTGTCCCAGCTTTCCGAGCTTAGACAGCCTCACCCCGTAGGGGGTGGGGCAGTGGGGACCTGCCACCTTCACCCCCCCCGCCCGAGTTACGTACGCCCCACAAACCTGAGGCCGCCTGGGGTAG